GGCAGGGAGGGGCGCGGAAGGCGCAGGTGCGGCGCCGGTAAGACCCGTGGGGCTGCGGCCCGGGGGTCTGGCTCTGGCCGGGCACCCCCGTCTGGCCCTTTCTTCACCAGTGAGCACAGCGGCCGGTGTGCCCAGGGAGGACGGGCCCAGGAGCCGGCAACCGGGAGCCCTTCCCCTCCTGACCCGCGCACACTTGGTGCCCGGTGCCGGGGCGCTGGACTCGGTTACTGAGCTGGCCAGCGCGGCCCCTGTGGACACGCGAGGAGAGCAGTGCCCACGCACCCACGAGGCCAACGCCCCAGTGGCAGCTGGGGTCCGGATGCCCGTCCCTAGGTGTGAGCCGCACCAGCCTCCCCATCCTGGCCCCGGGGGTCCTCAGCCTCCTGCAGGCCACAGGCACCCCTCTCCAGCAGACATGGCCTCCCCATGTGGTCGGCAGCCCAAGGCTCTGCTGGCTGCCTGGGGCCACATCTGGAGCATTGTGAGGGGCCCCTGGCTCTGCGCAGGGGCAGCGCCCAGCAGGTTCCCATGTTGGTTGGTGAATGGCTACTGGGTGGAGGAGATGGGAGGTGGGTGAGTGAACAGGCGGCTGGGGAGGCTGGCGGGGAGGCCAAGTGGCGGGCGCCCTGGGGCAGCGCAGGCTGCGGGTGTCAGGGCGGGGCACGAAGGCTGGGCCTCTGCACCTGCTCAAGTGGCCAGCCTGGCCTGCGCGCCCCAGGGGGCCCTCAGGGCCACCGACCGGGTCCCTGCGCTTTCCTCGGGTCGAAGATGTTCGTTTCTGCTAAAGAGAAAATATCTGTCGTCTGGGTCAGGGCTGCATGGCAGGCCCAGAGTGGGGCCTCCAAAGCAAAAAGAGGCCCCTCCATTAGAGCCGGGAGGGAACAGCCGTCACAGAGCCGCGGCCCTGCGGGGCAGATGGCCAGGTCCCGGGGGGGGGGCCGCGGGGTCCTGCCCGGCCTCAGCAGGCGGGGACTATCAGCACCTGATGGGGCGGGGCGGGGCTGGGGCGCGGCTCTGGGGGAGACAGGCAGGGCGGGGTTCTCCAGGGCCCTGGCCCTCCCCTGTGGGACTTTTCTGCCTGAGGCCTGAGGGCAAGTTGGCTACTCTGGGCAGCTGTATTCCAGGGAAGAACCCCGGGGAGCAGCCAGGAAGGAGGCCAGGGTGGTCAGAGACAGACTTCCCAGAAAGAGGAGTGGGGCCAGGGCCCGGGCCGGACCCAGAGGTGGGAAGCGTTTGCCTTTTGCGTCTGAGCCCAGGACGGTCCGGTCAGGTGGGGGCTGGGCCAAAGGCGAGAGGCAGCGGGAGGCCGCCGCCCGGGCTCACCTCCTTGGCCTCCCGGACGCGGGCGAGGAAGGCCTGCAGCTCCAGCGTCTCCACAAACAGCGCGCGGCACACGGCCTGGTAGTGGGCGGGGGCGCCCCGGGGGTCGGTCAGGCGCCCCGCGCACAGGCGCATGGCCTGCGCGAAGGTGCGCACCGCCCGCGGGCCGCCCTCGGCCTCCTCCTCCTCCTCGGGGCCCCCGTAGCCCTCGTCCGCGCCGCAGCCGGCCTCGTCGCCGTCGTTGTTCGCCATGAGGTCGATGAGCCGCTCCAGCTGCGGGCTGAGCTCGCGCTCCTCGCTCTCATCCAGGCCCCAGTCCAGCGCGCGGTAGATGGCGAAGCCCAGTGACTGCACCATCTGCAGGTGAGCCCCCGTGAGGCGAGGCCGCGCTGCACCCCAGACCCAGGGGCGCGGACACCGGCCCCCCAAACGTAGCCACGCTGCAGGGAGAAGTCACGGTGCCCTGCCGACCCCTCCTGTCCTCGCCCCTCTCAGGTTACCCGCCGCGAGAACGAGAGCTGGCCCGGCCCTCTGTCCCGCTAACCCGGAGCCGCCGGGAGCCAGGCAGCACACAGGCGGCAGGCAGGAGCCGAGCCGAAGGGACAGGCCTTGGACAGCACCGGCCGCGGGGGAGGCCACACCCGCGTCCTGGCCCTCTGTGAGGAGGCTGCTGCCGCCCGTGAGGCAGGTGCAGGGGAGGGGCTCTCCAGGGGCCATCTCCAGCCTGGGGCCCTGGGCTGACCACAGTCCATTGCAAACTCAACTTTTTCCAAGGCCCAGGGCTGGGGACTGTCCCTCTGGCTTTGAGCCGTCGGCAGCCGAGACCCCTGCCCCCAGGATCCCACCATGTCCCTCCCAGTGGCTGACCTGAGCTAGCGTTCCATCACCGGAAGGGCTAACTCCCGCTCCGGCCTCGGATCTGATCACCAGCACTGAGAGCTTCTCCTACGCTGCCCAGACCCTGGACATGCCCCCTGAAGGCAGCCTGCATCTGCTTCCCAGGAGGAAAATCCAGCAGCCGCCCAGCCCCGTGAAAGCCGGTGCTGCCTGCCCACAGCCACCGGCTCACCTGACGGTGAGGGCACTGAGCCCTAGCAGGTGAGGCTGGCGGGGCCCGGGGCCTGCCTGGCCGCAGCCTCTCAGATATTCTAGTGGGTTCCCTTGGGGTGTGTGGGGGGAGCGTCCACCCAGCGGGGACACTGGGCAGGCACCCTGGAGGTCCACCTGGGGGACTCAGATGCAGGCACACGAGTCGCTGAGGTCACAGGGCAAGGTGCTGGCAGGTGCAGACAGCACAGACCAGGCTTGGGGACACCCCGATTCTTGTCCATCTGGACTCAGCGTGGGGCTGCACAGACCCCACAGGACAGGGCCACGGACAGGAGGCAGCAGAGTGCGGGGAGCCAAGGGGCCATCACAGCCACAGCTTGCCGACCACCCCATGTGGCCCTCAGCAAGGGCAGGAAAACTTCGGGGTGCTGTTGCAGCCGTGTCCTCCAGGAGACCCCTATAGCCCTCTGGCCAGGCTCCCACATGACACCTGCTTGGCTGTGAAGTCACCAGGCAGGGACGCCACGCAGAGCAGTGGGCATGTGGGGGCTCAGTGCGGGCTGGGGTGTCCTGGGCATGGGCTCCAGGGTGGGCGTGCTGTGGCCCCCGGCCTCTCCACCCACGGAGCCACCCCAGGGCAGGCTCCCCCCGGCTCGCCTTTGGAGACAGCCTCTCCATCAGCCCCTTCCACCGCCCCGCACTCAGAGCACAACGGAGGCAGGGCTGGCCCGGCTGACGGGGCTCTGGGCAGCCCCTGCGGCTGGGTCGTCCGGCCAGGCGGTGGCCCCAGGGCGCAGCACACCCTCCCGGCTCCCCTGCTCCCTCAGCAGGGGGTTTCAGTGGATCCGCCTGTGTGCTCTCCACTCTGTCTCTGGGGACCCCCGACCCCCTTGGCAACTCTGGCCTGCCCCCCAGTTCCTGTGTGCAGAAATAAGTAAAATAAATCTTCCGAAGACACGGTTCCAAGAGTAGGCCGGAATCGCGGCGGCCGTACCTGGGCCTCGGAGCTGGCTGGCGACACCACCATCGTTGCGGGCTCTGCAACAGGAGGGGAGGCCGTCACAGCACGTCTGCACCGGCTCCCCTCAAAGACGCGCCACACCCCAGGGCTCAACCCTGCGAGCCCCGGGGCTGGGCCGCCGGGCCTGGCGGGGACACCTACAAGCACGGCCAAGCTGGACCCCAGGTGCCCTCTGATGGCCCCGCAGCTCCCACTGTGCTCAGCCCAGCCCCAGGC